TTATGGTTAGATTAGATTCAAACACAGCTCGAGTCATAGAAACTAATGAGGCAAATGCTCGGATGCAATGAACTAACCAGAGGATTGGAAAATCAAACAGCGATCATTTTCATATACAAAATAAGAAATTACGAAAAAAGGAAGTACCTGTAGCTGAAGGAAAAGAAAATGACGACAGACGAATGAAAGAAGGAAAATGGGGAGAGACCAATGGTTTAAAAGAAAGACTGGTGGGTGGGTTAAATGGTAGAAGCAGAGAATCCATACCCAACTACCGTCAACTCAAATAAGAAAAGGTTGTTCTAAACTGCACATTCATAAGATAAAAGAAAGCTGAATTGCGAGTTGAATGAAAACCATTAAACAATAAATATGGTTTTGGGTATAATTGAAAGGATAGAAAAGAGGTGGAGAGGGTTTTACCTGGGAATTAATAGAACTGGCAAAGGATGAAAATTTTGAGACCAAAACAGGATTTTGGAGCAGTAGCCGACAGAATACCGCTACCGTAAAAGCTTCATGATTTCTTCTTTAGATCCTATGAGTCTTTCAGTCAGACCCTTCTTAATTATAAAATAAATATTTAAATTATATCTAAACTGTACAAACGTTTTTTTCAATTATTTAAATATTTAAAGATATTATTATTTTAGATGTCCATGATGTAACGATAATTAATAAATTTCATAAAGGGACACCTGTCACATTTTAGTAATATAAAAAAACAAAAAAAAACTATTATATTTATAAAGAAAACTCCTTTTTTATAAAATTATGAAAAAACCCTCTCCTAAAAATATCATAATCCCTAACTCTAATCCGAACCCTAACCTTCCTTTTCGGGCACAATTGATGTTGTCCTTATCCTCTCCATTGTCAGTCATCCTTGTCCATATTATTGTGGTTGTCATCTGGGTAGTCGGTAGCTTTACTTTTGCAATTTTGATATTATTTTTGTCGGGTTTAAACCATTGATTAGGGTTCTTCAGGTGGCCAAGTAGTCTAGTGATTGTATCATCAGTGACGATTCGATCGGGTGAAGGTTTGTCGATGGAAACAACAATGAAAAGGGGTGGCCGGCATAGGTATAGAGATTTGTATTAAAGATTTTCGATGTTTTGAAGGTTTTTCTAAGTTTTTCAAAAGTTTTAGATTTTTTAACTAAAATTATATTTTAATTTTTTTTTTATTTTAAAGACTTAAATGCACCATTGCTCTGTAAAGTATATTATTTGTACCGAGTTGTTTCTTAAAATATGTTTCGGGACCTTTTTCCTCTTAAAGTTTAAATCGTTATTTAATCTGTCTCAAACCGTTAACTCCGATAAAAAGACACAGGGGTAAATTGCACATTTAGTTACTTAACTATTTATGCGGTTTCGTTTTGGTCACCCAATTATTTTTTTCAAAATCATCACTAAATTTGAGTTTTTATTTCATTTTAGTCACAACAGGATTTATTTGTCATGGAAATGTTGGGAAAATTGCGGTGAGATTTATGCGGTTCCGTTGTTAAACAATTGGAGCATGATTGTTTATTGGGAAAATTAGATTTTTCTTGCTCTTTGATCCATTTTCCCTTCGTGTAAGTAATATTTTCCCTTTCAAACTGCATGATTTTTCTCTTCAAATCCCATGCACTGATGATCTTCATCATCTTCCCCTCCACAATCTTTCACGAACATTAAATTTAGATCCAAAAAGGTGCAAAAAAAAATTGATTGAGATGGATTGTTTTCCATCAATGGCGGATGAAACTGAAGTGGTGAGAACTTATCAATATCATCTTTGGTTGCTTCAAGAAACCAATCAACACCTTTGCTAGGCTGGTTAAGGCCTAGCCAATCTTGCCAATCATATAGTTGAATTGCGGTCGGCACTGAAAGCCTAATCCGATAGTCCCTTATTAATCCCCTTACCACCATACAAACTTTGATATATATGCCGATCCTTCCCGCTGAAAGAATGCGCACTCGAACGATCCTCGGATTACGAAACCCCGACCACCGCCTCAAACTCGATGGATCCTTGGAGACCTTGCTGCCATCACTGCTGATTTCGCCTTCTTGCTTTGCTTGAAAACAACCCCTTTTTCTTGAACTTGAAATCATCCTCTCATCATCATTCCACATTCATATATATATTGTATGTTCAAACTGAAACAAGGAATAAATTAGCCTGTAATTAGACAGCAAATGACTTCAAGATTCAAATAAGAGCATGAAAATACAGTTCATGAGAATTCTTGTTCTCCATTTCAGGTGACATACATGTAAATGTAAAGATAATAGGTTATAATTCTCAGAATATACATACATAAATATATATGCATGAATCAAATAGAGCTTGTTGCAAAATAAACTTACATAATTGACTGACAGATCAAAATGTTGCAGAACTTGCAGAAATGGACTTAAATTTTATTGAAACAATAAAAATATAAACTTAGTAAAAGGAAATCACAGCTTCAGGAATAGAAAAATGATGCTGGTATATATATATAATGATTATGTTATGAGTTATGGATCTTGGCCAAGAATTTGCTATTATTACTTTTATTGTGATTATTTTAAACTTCAAAAAGGTAAAATTAACGATTGAATTTGGTGGAATTGGAATGGTAGCAAAGAACTGGTGTATTTTAATATTATAATATTTTACGTGTTAAAAAGATAAAACTAAAATCTTATATATTAATTTTATTCTGATATAAATAAATTCATATAAAAATTGTATGGAATTAGGTGAGTAAACAAAACAAAAACTTAAGTTTAGTGATGATTTTGAAAAAAAAATAGTTGGGTGACCAAAATGAAACCGCATAAATAGTTGAATTACTAAATTTGTAATTTACCCTGTTTTTTTTAAAGGAGTTAACATTTTGGGGCAAATGATTTAACGATTTAAACTTTAGGGGGCAACTCGGTACAAATTAGCGCTGAGCAACGAAATCGAGAAAACCGAAAAAACTGACACGAACTGTTCTGTTCGGTTTGGTATTATACAGTTCGGTTTTCGGTTCGGTTTAAAGTCTTAATTATTTTGATTCGGTTCGGTTCGGGTTTTCCATATGGAACCCATTTGTTTCATATTAAACCGAATAGACACTTTTTTTAAAAAAAAATTTATAGTTTCAAGTGATTTTTTATTGAAAAACAGAGCCGAATTGAAAAGCCCGAACCGTTAAAAAAACCGAACCGAAAAAACCGGTTTCGGTTTTTTCGGTTATTTAACCATTCGGTTTCGGTTTACATTTTGAAAAACCGTTTATTTCGGTTCGGTTCAATTTTTGGTAAAAAACCGAACCGAACCGAACCGAATACACCCCTATTACAAATAGCATACTTTTGGGCGTAATGGTGTATTTAAGCCTATTTTAAATAAAAAAAATAAAATTATCAGAACATGACACGTGTCATTTAACGGAGTTTTTTAGCGGTCTTTATATCCCGAACACCTAAAATGATAACGTTTATAACATTAGACACCTGCATGATTAAAAAAAATTGAAACCTATTTAAGAAAAGTATTATAATTTGAGCACTTAATTTATAATTAAGCCTTATTTTAACGTCACTGAGATATTTTGGCCGCATATAATTGGGTTTTTTTAGAATAAGGTTATTAAAATAATATTTGATGGTATTTAAGGATTTCAAAAGAAATAGAATATATAAATGTAATTTAAAAATTATACTTAATCTGATCTTTAAGTTTAAAAAATTGATATTTTAATTAATGAAATCGAATATTTTCGATTATATTGTGGTTTATATTGTTGACGTGACGGTACACAATCGATGATGATATGAGAAATATTAAATTAATTTTTTAGTCTAGTTTAAGAGTTAAATTGATATTTTTAAAAAGTTTGATGACTTATTAATTTTTAAAAATATTATTTATTAAAAAATCATCTTTTCTCTTTTTTACAAAATTTTTTGTCAATTTTATTGATCAATCCTATTTTTTCTTCTTTAATTTAATTTAATCGACGATGACACCGATTTGGATACTAGTTGTTGACCGTCGGTTATCTTTTTTTTTTCTTTTTTTATGAGAATCAGACGATGTCCACGGCTATATGGGCATACCCATGAGAACTAATATGCTTGTCAGAAATATAGTTGTGTGAAATATATCATCATTTACACAAACGACAGAATAGTTCAAGGACATCACGTCTACTAGTTAGCCAATAAATTAAATATAACTGTCACGAGAGAATATTCAAAGGATGACACCTAACTATCTTATGTAACTATAGTTCGTACGGTTTATCACAACATCGAGTCAAAGTATTTTGATAAAATCATTAATTTCATTCATGTGGGGGATTGTTGGAAAAAAGAATAATTATGTCTTTGTGACATGTTTCTCTGTCTTTATGACACGTTTATCTCAGTCTTTATGGTACGTTTTTCTCTGTCTTTTGATAGTTTACGTTTTTTGTCGTTGTTTTTATTTATCTTTTTTCTCAGGGTTGGATTTGACATCGCCACGACTGATCAAGATGACGCTTATTTGTTATCATGATGATCTTCCCTGGTTTTGGACCATTTGATTGATTTGGATACGCGTTTTGCATTCGTGGATAGTTTTTTCACGTCGCTTGACGCTGATTTATGATTTATCGGTGGCATTCAGTAGCTTCATCCCCTTTTGTGGTTCATTTACCGATGCGTTCAGATTTATTCGTGTCTTTATTTTGTTCGAACTTTTCTATTAGACCTTTTCCTTATTTGGTCTTTGTGTGATCTAGATGACTAGTTTTTGTTTCAATAATTATAAAAAAATATACTAATTATAATTTTGTTTACGTTTACGTTATACTTGTAAATCTTCATTATAATTTTGGATATTTTATATTTTTAATAAAACTAGCTATAAAAAAATTCAATAATTTGACTAATCATATTTCAAACAAAATTTAAGTGCCACTATATATATGAACTTACTATACGATAGACAGTAACCTACGAATAACTTTTAGAATTATCTAAAATAGTGGAACAATCTCTTAACCATAGGTAACTTTTATTAATCATTTAAATATTAGTCTAAACCATAAATACAATTCTGCCGTCTTATCCCATGTTACATCCATCTTCTGCATGTATACAATATCTCTCCGGCCACCGTGCTCATCGGCTAATAGTTTCTGTTGCACTACCAATTGTCTTGCTCCTCTTGCCAAGGTCTAATTGCATCCTCGGATTTCAGGCTTTATTAATTGCTTGTAAAGTAGGCTTTTTAAACCAAAATCTGATTTCCATTTTTCTTTTATTAAGGACAAATAGTCACTTGGTAGCTCAGTTTTTAGGGAGTGTTCATTTCTATGGAAAAGATGATTTAGTTTCTTTCCCTGGACCCCCAATGATTAAGAAGCAATGCTGGGATAAATACTCGAGTTGGATTGATTCGGTACAAAGAGGGAAGTTGGAAAGCAGAAACATGTTACATGCTATAGTTTCACACATTTGATTTATTTGGATAAATCCAGCAACTCTTAGCATAGAAATAAATTAGGAATCAGTGGAAGAAGCTTACTTTCCAGGGAGAAGCCAGCTGAGGATACCAACAAGAACCTGCAGCAAAGTAAAATACAGCATGAAGTGGTTATACTGTAACAAATTGCGCCTAATCGATGCCCAGTAGCTATTATAATAGCTGTGAATTTCCCGGAACTGCTTCCACAGGTAGCATTCTCTCAAAGTGAACCTCACATTTCTGCCGGTACTGTTAAGCATGTTCATGAAACTTGTCTCGTCTTCTGCGTTGCCTTCGATAATGTCGGCAGAACGAAGATACCCCACATCTTCGGGTTGCTTCACGAGGCAACTCATGAAGCACACGTATGTAGTGAAATGTTTGGATTGATCCGGGAAGCATAGCTCCAAAGCAACGCAGTTGGCCAGTACGGCATTTGTGAAATCGTTAATGGCCAGGGGCGGGATTTTAAGAGCTAAAGGCGGGATTTGGAATTTCCTGAAATCTATCTCCAATAGGCTTTTCGCCGTCTTTTGTCTCACCGTTATTCCCACGCTCCGCAGGTATTTCACGCTTTGGATCGGGGTCAGACCATAGCGTTTGCTTCGTTGTGCATCGAAGTTAGTCGCCGGAAGGAGACTCCGGCGAAACAAGTCCAGTAAATGCTTGGGCTCTTGAACATGAATGTACACCATTTCTGAAGATCTGGATCTGCAGAAAGTTTGACTTAAGAATCGCCAGGCAAGATCAGGCAAAGTGCGGATCGACTTGTGTTGACCGACGTTAGACTCCTCGAACAATTTCTTGAGAACGCAAAACGGTAGCTGGTTCTCAAGTTTCAGCAGATCGGAAATCAGAGTCGGGATCTGCCATCGTGAAGGCATCATAAAATCCGTACCCTCATCGTACATACGGAAGAGCTCCACCATAAAAGAACCATCGTACAACATCATATTAAGTAACTTATCGTCAGGAGGCAAAACGATCTTTGGAGAGTAACGACTTTTTATTTCATCTTTCAGATCCTTCAATTTGTTAACGTAATACGGCAAATCTCTTTGCAGATATTGTGTTCGAGAAAGAAACTTGTTAAGAAGATCTACCTTGTGATCTTCAAACCGATTGTCTTCTCTATAGTGAATGGGGCCGAACGATGCTAATTGCGGCGTTCGGATCCCATCATCAATGCCGACGAGGAAATCGGGAAAAGGACAGATAGTGTGAGTTCCGACATCAGATGTGACTGTGAGCTGTCTGAGCCTCATTTTCTCCTCAATTGAAGCCACAACACGCTGCTCTAGACTATCATCGGGGTTTTGCGGATCCATCGTAGAATCGCCGGTGGCTGCTTAATGGTAATGGAAATGATGTTCAGTGTTTTTAGCTCCCTCTTTGTCCACAAATGGAAAACTGGTACAGATCTGTCACAGTTATACGACGACTTCAAAAGTCTTCCCACTTTCAACTAAATAATAATAAAATAAAAAAACACCGGCTATTTCCGCGAAATAACAGTTCACCTAAAACTATTTACTGAAGTATGCTCTCTTAGAGGTTGTTTGGTTCGGGAACGTGGGATTCGATGGGAGTTGAATTTACATTCTTTTAGTTGGTTGGAAATTTTATTTTTGGTAATGTTTTATTATTAATAATAAATTTTTTTGATATATTATCAGGAATATCATTATCCTCTTTCCTTAGGATGTATTTGATTCACGGAATATAAAATTACCAGTGAGAATTTAAGATTATCAGGGAATATGATTACTGATAATGTTGTATTTTGTATTTGGTTGGTTTAACAGTAATATAAGATTATCGTGTTTGGTTAAATAAATAAAATATTATTGAAATCTATATTTAATCAAATTATCCTTATATATATTTGTTTTTTAACAAGTTGAAAAATATTTATATATTTTTTTTAAAAATTTAAATTCATAAAATTTATATATATTTTTTTAACAAAATTGAAAATATAAAAATGTTTAATGAAAGGGTAAAATTTTATTTTAACTCCTGAACTTCATATAAAATTTTAATTATAAATTTTTTTGTAAATCTAAAATAGTTTAAGGATAAATTTGTAATTTAACTTTCGTAGAATTTTTATTATTCAATGACAGAAGAATGATATTTTTGAAAAAAAAATTAAGGGAATTTTAGTCCAAAACACCGGTAATCCAACAATACCTAAGGAAATGAAAGTAATGACATTCCCAGTAATATACCCCAAAAAATCTACTATTGGTAATAAAACATTATCGGGAATGAGATTCACGGCCAACCAAACATGAGAATGTGGATTCCATTCCCATGGGAATTTCACATTCCTTGAACCAAACAACCCCTTATGTATTGTTGGATTACCGACGTTTTGGACTAAAATGTCCTTAAATTTTTTTCAAAAATATCATTCTTCTGTCATTGAATAATAAAAATTTTACAAAGGTTAAATTACAAATTTATCCTTAAATTATTTTAGATTTACAAAAAAATCTATAATTAAAATTTTATATGAAGTTCAGGGGTTAAAATAAAATTTTACCCTTTTATTAAACCTTTTTATATTTTCAATTTTGTAAAAAAAATTATATAAATTTTATGAATTTAAATTTTTTAAAGAAAATATATATAAATATTTTATAACTTGTTAAAAAATAAATATATAATAAGGACAATTTGGTCAAATATACATTCCAAATAATATTTTATTCCTTTAACCAAACACGGTAATATTATATTCTTATTAAACCAACCAAACACAAAATACATCATCCTCAGTAATCCTATTCTCTGATAATCTTTTATTCCCACTGATAATCTTATATTCCATAACCAAAAGCACTTTTAATACTTTGCTTAGAGACAAGTAGTTTACTATGGAAGTGGCTTAGGTGAAGATTCAAAGGACGCAAATCTGGGCTTAGCCGAACCATATCCAATGATGGGTGACAAGGACATGGTGGATATACTCTAATGAGCCCATTTATGGTCCAATGAATATACCGATGGACAATCATTCCCTGAAATTTTTACATTATCATGTAGTTTTAAAATTTTTTGTATTTTTTATTGATAATTTATTTTTGTATCTTATAATTTTAGAAGTTCGTTTCCTTTTAAAATTTTAAAATCCCGCTCCTATCATAAACTTTTACGTACATCCCTTAATAGATGTGATCTTATCTAAATTTGTACTTCGATAATTTATAATATAGAAGTTTTTGTACTTCAATAATTTGTAATATAAAAGTTATCTTTGAAAAATCAGGAGGAATATGAATCTTACTCTCTTAATATTATAAATTCAGTTTAATTAAGTTACGACTATTTCGAATCCATTAAGTAGGCTTAGTGATAAATGAGAACGATGAGAACTCTAGAGATCTTGAGTTCAAGTAACGATGTAATATAATTAATAACAAAAATGAGAATAAAATTAAAATAATCTGAAATTAAAAGGTGTAAATAAATATTTATTCATACATAGCAAAGTTGAGAGTAATGCCTCGTTAAAGCATAGTATTCTCCCTGATTTTAACCATCTAAATTAAAGATGTGATGTTAAAGAAAAGGTTAACTTATGTGTAATTTAAGGATCATAAATCTAATAATTAATTTAACTCATTTACATTAATTTATAATCAACTCATCATCAATAATTAATTGTTAAAGTATCTATATATATATATATATATATATATATATATATATATATATATATATATATATATATATATATATATATATATATATATGTTTATCATAATTTTTTTTGGGATAAATGCAAATGTTTATCATACTTTATATAATTATTGAACTTCGATTAATTTTAATCACAGTAGATCAGTTTAATATGGGCTAAATTTATTATGGTACGTTGAATATACAAAAAAAATATTAAAGAGAATATCAAGAAAATCGTCCATACAAAGACAACTAATATAGCTATTTAACATACAAATGTTTACACAGTTACCCTAACTAACCACGTAACTACTTAATAACTTCCAGTTGTGTAAGATTGTCTACGGACCACTCCTAACCACTCCCCCGTACCTCAATATTCTCTCTTCTCCTTCCACAACTTTGACCTTCTTCCTAAACATATGAAAATATGACTTGGCCAAAGGCTTTATAAACCTGTCTGCAATCTGATGTGACGTTGGAATGTAATTGACCACCAAGTTGCCCTCTGCAACCTTCTCCCAAATGAAACGTATGTTTAGTTTGATATGTTTAGATTGAGAATGAAAAACTGGGTTCGCACACATAGATACCACACTCGTATTGTCACTCCAAATGACATGTGAAGTCCTAAGAGTAACCACCATGTCAACTAACAGAGCTTGTAACCGAACAACCTCAGATGTTACATCTGCGGTTCCCAGATACTCGACTTCGGTTGTGGACTGAGAAACTGATCGTTGCTGCCTGGAGCTCTATGCAGCCAAGTTTCCACAAAGTAAACGCAAAACCCTGAGCCAGATTATCTGTCATCCATATTACTAGCCCAATCAACATCAGCAAACGCAGTCAGCACACGTGATTCAGACGAGACTTCGAACACAAGGCCATAGGCCAGTGTGCCAATTAAATAGCGAATAATGTGCTTTACAGCAACCAAGTGAAGCTCGCTTGATTGATGCATGTATTGAGCCATCCAGTTAACACTAAAGGCAATATATGAACGATTATGACTAAGACATTAAAGGACACCAATCATGTTCACCCTTTCAAGCAACTCGTAAGCATACTTCTTCTTATTAAGAATAAACGATCGTTCACCACATTTTACTTCAAGGCCAAGAAAGAAATCCAAGTCCCCTAATAACTCCTCTCCTACTGCACGATCATCTCGAATAACGCAGACTCGTTTGTTTGTAAAAATCTTCTCAGTCTTGAAGCCATAAAACTCAGTCTTCGCAGCTCCATCGAAGGTTAAATCTTGCAGCGGCATCTCGAAAACCAACCTAGCTAATCACGACTGTGCAACACTTAAAAAGCAAAGAAAACGCCAGATATCTAAAAACGACTAATACCATATTGAATATACAAAGAAATACTGAGGTATATTATTAAAAATATCAAGAAAATCGTACATACAAAGACAACTAACCTAGCTATTTAAAATACAACAGTCCACGCAGTTATCTTAGTTAACCACGTAACTGCCTAACAACTTTCAATTGTACACAACGGTCTTGAGAACACACTAACCTCCTAACCACTTCTTCGTACTACAATATGATAATAAATAACATACAATTATTACTTATTATACATTACATCAGGGACGTACACATGATTTTATGTTAGAGGAGATAAATTTGAACTTATAAAATTTTAAAGGGCGGATAAAATTTAGGAGGCGAAAATATATTTTCAATAAAAAATACATAGAAAAAATTTAAAATATATGGTAATTTTAGATTTTTAGGGAGCGACCGCCCCCACCTAAGTCCATCCCTATATATCATGTATAAATAATGTCTTAATCTTTTACTTGGACTACATATATATAAATATCCTCATCACCTTATAATTGTCTGTTTATGGCTTAAACGTTTATCATCGCAAACGATTGGTATATAAAATAATCTATTCATTAATCATGTTAGTATAGAATCAATATGATGTTAAGGAGTGTTGGCACAAATGGTTGAGATTCAAGAATTTGAGGTTATAAAGTTAAGTTTGAATCATACTACTGTCACTTCTGATGAAATCATCTATATAATAGTGAAAATAGAATCAATATGATTTTACTACCTATTTCATAGTAAAATAATCTCTAATCACGTATATTAATATAATCTTATGATGTAGATTCAATATTGATGTATAACATGAAAATATCATCATAACATGTCTATTTTATCTTACTTATATCGAAAATTGATCATAATATTTTTTATATGTTGTGATTATAAATAAATAATTGATTGATTAATTATAAAGGAAACTATATACATAAGAAGATTGTGTTTGTTCTCATTATGTGTATTAATGCGATAATGTGTGTAATTGTATGATATCTATAATAATTTTAATATATTAATAATAATTTATTCATATAAAAATTTATATATTTATTTTCATAAAAGGTGATAGTAAATTTTATTAATTATAATTATTTTAATATATTTAAATTTTATATTTGATTGATCACTATTGAATATATATATATATATATATATTGATATATACAAGTAAATATAATGATAATATATACTTAAAAACGAAATTGTTTATATTTTAAAGACTTTAAATATATATTATTTGTTGATTTATTGAAAATGTGTAAAAATTGAGCGCCCAACCCTACTTGCGTCGAAAGACACCCATCATTAACTGAGAAGAAAAATAATACATAATGATTTGATTATTGTATGAATGCCCTAGCTATTATAAATAATATAAATATAAATACGCAAGACATTCAATTCCCTCATTGTTTCTTTGCTTCTTCCTTCCCTTTTGTCTTCTCTCTCTTTTTCTTTCTTTGCTACCATGAGCAGCAAAGGTGGCGGCGGGAGCGGTGGAGGTGTCGCTGAAGGGTCAAGGGTTTCGATCCCCGACAATGCAAAGAAAACGATCCAAAGCATAAGGGAGATCACAGGGAAACAACACAGCGACGAAGAAATCTATGCAATCCTCAAAGAGTGCTCAATGGATCCCAATGAAACTGCCCAAAAGCTTCTTTATATGGGTAAAATAAATCGAGATCCGAATGTTTCTTTTTGGACTTATTTATCTGTTCTGTCAGTGCTTTCGATGCCCTCTCAGGATTTCTCGGTTTCTATGTGTTTGCTGGGTTAATGATCTGTTTGTTTATGTATGGATTTTGTGTTGAAAAGCGCGGGATTGTTGGAATTTTCGAAAGATGGTGTTTTCATGATATCGTTTGTTTTTGCTAATGGAAAAATGAATTGTGCATTGTTTGAGTTGTTGATTTCGTGTTTTCTGTTGGAACAGTGAAGAAAGTTTTGATTTATAGAGGTGGGATTGGCTTGTTTTTGTAAATGGAAAGGGGTATATTGGTCCTGTTTCTTTGATGAAGGATGTCCTTTGTTTACTGGGAAATCCAGTCCTTGATAACCCATTCCTTTTGTTTTGATTTATTACCAGCTATAGCAGTCTGCCTTTTTATTCAATCTTTTTAAGGTTTCGATATTAATTTTTATAATTTTACCATCATAATAATTTGATAATCTTTTTCAAACTAGCAAATCAATATTCTAAAATTCAAAATTTCGATTCAATTTCTTATTGGTTCTATAGAAGGTAGCTTTCTGCATTCTGATTTGACATACTGTTATAAGCCTCTCTTGTCTTTTTCTTATCATTTTTGGATATTCTTATCTCATTGAGCAGATACTTTTGTCTTTGCTTGATGTATCTTACATTTTACTTTTCGAAAGTATAACTGTTCCATTGTTTGGCTGGCAGACACATTTCATGATGTGAAAAGGAAGCGCGACAAGAAAAAGGAGGCAAGTGTTCTTTTCCTTTCATCGGGTGAAAATATAACTTCTCGTCATGATGTTTATGCTAGATTTCGATCTACATGGTGTTTCCTTGTTAACAACTATCCAATGGAAAATGTGAAACTAAAAATTCTGAGCTGCAATCTGTCGTAGTATGACTTGCTAGAATTAGTCTAGTTAATGTGTTTTCTTTTTTTTTTTTTTGGGATGGGGGGGTTTGGATTTGGCTTTAGTTAGCTTGGTAAATTGTGAGTTATAACCAAATTCTTCTTCCTGCAGACAGCTGGTACACAAGGACGAGGGGGCCAAAGCAGTCGAGGGAACTATTATTCATCATCTGGTAAAGGTATTAGTTTCTTTTACTTCTGTTTTATACATCACTTAATGAATTTAACATATTTTTCTATTTGTAAGTTGTTAATTTGACAAGCTTTGTTCTATTAAGATTTTGGAGGAGGAAGGAATTCATTTTCTAGAAGGGAGAACGGGGTTAATCAATCCGCATATAGAGGTTCTATGCCTTCCCAAGCATCTCAGAAAGTGAAAAATAATGCAGCACCTCACATGACAAAGTAAATATACATAATGACATTTTTTTTTATCTAAGCATGACTTTTATGACCATGTTAATTTATTAATTCTAGAGAGTAATTTTATATCTTGTAAAAAATCTCTGTCCTTCTTTCACAGAACTCCGACTGCCATACCCAATGGCACTAGTAGTTTACCAAATGGGAGCTCCAGTCATGGACGTGGACCCCAATCATCCATTGATGGTATGTTTAGTGAAACTAAAGGTGGCTTACCTGTAAACAAAACAACTACTCTTTCAGAGCAAACAGTTGACAGAGAATCTCCTGACTCCATTCCTGCTAAGACCTTTAGCTCTGTGATCAAAGGTCAGGAGAAGTCCGCATCAAATTTGAACGCCCCATCAACTTCACCAACTCTTCCTGTTGTCAATTCATCTGCATTTGAATCTGGAATAGCATCAACTGTCTCACAGCATGCTGGTGCTGCGGATACAACAAAATGTGAAGTTGGAAGCCAACAGGAAGCTACTGAATCAAACGATATTCAAGAAAAAAAACTTGCTCCATGTGATATTGACATATCTAAGACTGAGGAAATGGTGACTGAGGTTCCATTCTCAATGAATGGAAAGGAGGAGCCCAGAAAATCAAAGGTTGCTGAACAGGTTAAGCAGTCTAAGCCGGTAGAGCAAGGTATTATTTCTTCTTTCTGTTCCGTTATACCATAAAATATAGTGGGCTATAGTAGTTCATGTTGTCTTTGTTTAGTTTTTTTGGGTCTTTCCTTTTTATCTCCTTTTAATGTACAATGTTGCCTTTTGTAAGTACTTTAATGGGGGGCTTCTGTATTTACTATTTTCTCTTTGACAGTGGGTAGGTATAGTATTTTACTTTTATGGCTTTGCTTTAATGTTTCCCTGCCAGGAAGATCCCATTTGAAAAGTTTGTGCATCCCTTTGCAATTTTCCTGGTATTGCTAGTGGTCTATGCTCCCTAGGTCTTGTACCTGTTGTACTTAAAACTGCCATTCTTCTAATTGTTTTTTTCTTTCATAAATATAAATAAAAAAAATTCTACGCGATAATGTTGCTAATTTATTCATTTATTATTTTATTACTCTCCTTGCTTTTGAAGCACCCCTTACCTAGATATGCACGTAAATACTGTCTTGCTGTGCTTTTTGGTATTCTTTTTTTTTAATTGTCTATTTGACTTTGCTCTTGTTTTGAAACAGTGGTCATAACTGAGGTTGCAACCGTCACTGGTAAAGCCAGTTCACAATTGCTTGCTGATTCAAATATCTGCAATGGTCAACATGTTATTTTTCCAACCCACTTCCAAGTTTCTGAAGCATTACAAAATGGCTTAACTTTTGGAAGCTTTGATTCTAGTTTTGGACAAGTTTTGAAACACACTGGTGTCACTAATTTGGAAATTAGCTCTGCAAGGCCTCTCGAAACCTTTCAGGGTGTTGACGATACTGCTGGAGAGCCTGCTTATAGGTTGGTGGATATTAGTTTCTACATTTGTTTGAATATATATATAATTTTCTGGATCAGGGGTTGGGGGAGAGGATTTCTGACGTTTGAACCTAGGACTTTGTAAATGAAGACTTAAGCAACGTAGGTCATTTGTCACTACACCATTGCCTTAGTGGACAATTTTTTTTTCCTGGTGCAATGTTATTAAGGCGTGCAGCTGGTTAGTGGTTGCTGTGCCTTAGCGCCAGAGGTCAAGCTTGTTAGCCAAGGGAAGAAACCATTCTAGATTGTGTCTACATTGGTCTGATTTGCTGTTGATACACACATGAGATGCCAGAATATTGGGATCTTTAAACAGTATTCTGACTTATCTATTTTGTTTCTTAATTTTTAAATCTTATTGGGCCTTTATGGTTTCTCCACAGCCAAGGTATATTACCAGCTGTGGAAGGGGACAACGCTGATCAGCAAAAAGCTCCTCCTGAGTTTGAGAAAGCGCCTGAATCAGATTGTAATGTTTCATCTGACGCTGACTTGAATGTTGACCAATCCAATCAAGAAATGCATCTGCACCCGGAGAGTAGTCAGAGCATCATTCCAAATGTCCCAAGCTATGGTCTTAGTTTCATGACAGCATCGGCAACTCACCCTGCTCAGTTTGAAGGACCTGATGCAAGGATTCATGATGTTTCTCGGCTGACGAACCTCATTGTAAGCACTTGCTATTTAATTGTAAGTCATATATGTATTTGATTCAATTTGTTACTTCTGTGCATCCCCTTGGTCATAGTTAAAAAAGTTTTATTGGTAAGTAGCCTTTGTACTTCTCGTATTTGGTTCAGTATCTATAGCCTTAAAGTCCATGGTGCTTTAGTAGCATGGAATATGACAAAGAATCAGCTATCATAGGTCCCTGCAAACTTCAGATAGTCTGTTTTTCCCTTTTTCATAATGAAATCAAATGACTGTATGCTTTATACGATTATAATTACATGCTTCTTACACTGGAGTTGTCAAATTTGTAGAATGGTAATTCTCCAGCTCCATCTGGCAGTTCAACTCCACCTATTCAGAACTCTGTTGCTATTGCACCACAAGCTGTTCATCTTTTCCGGCAGCCATTTCCACCTAATTACTTCCCTTATCCACACTATCTTTCACCTTTTTATATGCACCCTATGCATCAGTTTCTAAGCCCCACCGAACTTACTCAGCAACCTTCAACCGGCAACATATACATGCCGCCTGGAACAACTCTACCTGGGGTCAAGTTCCCTCTACCACAGTTCAAGCCTGGAACTAATGCAGGAAATCCTGCTCACCTTGCAATTCCATCCGGCTATGGTCCATTGGCTTCACCTCCTATTGGTTTCAATATACCTGTTCCATCAGTGACTTCCGGAAGCTCTAGCAGCAAGGAGGATATTGCAGCATTGCAGTTGAAGGAAAATCATATATACACTACTGGATCACTGGTTGGTTTTGCCATCCTTTTACTTCTATATTTCCTCCCAACCTTGTTTCCATCTAATCTGTTTTAACATGATGGATTATATGCATTGTATAAGTGGGGTTTAATTTCAAGACAATGCTATTTTTTTTCTTGGCAGAATGAAGGTTCAGCTCTTTGGATGCCTGCACCAGGGCAAGATTTATCCAACTTGCAGGTCAATTCATTATACAACCTTTCCCTTCATAGCCAACAGCTTCCTTTCTCTCCTTCCCAAGCTGGTCATGGTGCCTTTGCGGGACTTTATCAGTCGCCACCACAAACAATGGCTCCAACCAACATTAACACCCTACTACAGCAGTCTCAACCCATGGCAGCAGCAGCTGTGGGAACTGTAGGTCCCCCGACGGGCCCTTATTAGCAGCCTCAACTCGCACAGGTAAACTGGAAAACTAATTACTGAACCCTTAAAAATCCTACGATGATGCTGTCTAGAAGAAATCGATTGTGGAAATCTTTGGAAGGTGAAACACTGGCCAGGCCTTCTCGTGGAATGTATATATGAAAGGCATCTCAGACACATTAGAGTTAATGGTGGTGGGGAAAATATATTTGTTTGTGACATTGTTTCGTCTTTTAATCCCTGCCATTTCTGTTAGTCTTCTTGTTCTGGGTAGCAAACCTTTTGTTTGTTGTTCAATTGGAACTCTTATCATTCTCATAAGAGAACTCTATAGGAATTTGAAGAGGTCAATTAGATTAGGTGGGATTTTGCCAATTTTTCCTTTTTTTCTCTCTTGATAATGTCTCACCTCTGTATTAAATTTTGAATTGAATAGCGAGGAACTGATATAATATAAAGCTGTAATTGGTATGAGGTTCTTCTATTTCTGTTTCGATTGAAACCACAAGCTGTCTGGTTTTATTCAAGTTTCTTCCTGAACTTGGTTATTTTATTGTATGACACCAAAGCTGTAACTGAGCCGAGTTGACTTTGAGGCATAAGCTGGACTTCGAGCTTGATTAGGTTTCACTTTAAAGCTCCAGATTAGTACGAGATAAACCATTGCTGTCAAAAGCATCAGCTTATTTTAGGGTCGTGAACTAAAGCTCAACCTAACCTTGAATGAATATGTAAAAATATACCTCGTTCTAGCATCATTCATTAAAATGAGTTAAAATTTACCAAAAAGTTATACGAATGGGATGTTGAAAACAAGACTACTGAATGGTGTGGCAGCAGTCAGTATCACAGTTGTAATCATAATGAATACAAGCCTGTGTCTAAATTCAAAGTTCTGAACTCAAATATGATTACAACTAAGAACAAAATCACCTTCAGTCGAAAGAACATATTCCAGTGACACCATAGGTTCAATCGCGTTGCAGTTGTTGCTCGAGGTATTTGTTTTCCTTTGCAATGTTGTCAAGGTCGGCTTGAAGCTTATCTGCATTTAAGCTTCGGGAAGACATGGCTGCGAGTTTCTTTTCAAGATAAGTTGTTTCTCTTCGGATTCTATCGGTTGCGAAAATTTTCTCAGAGATTTGCTCAAAGCTATCATGGATGCTGGTGAGCAGTTTATAAACCTGTCGCCGGCCTGCATCTTTCTTTGCTTCCCTGCACATAAACAGTTCTTTGCAAGGAAAAAGCTCAATTCAGCTCCATTTAATACATCGCCTATAGTGAAGCTGCAAAGTCGGAAATCGAGGGCCCAAAGCAAAGAAAGCTTAAGTAGCAGTCAGTACATACCGGAAAACAATTTCATCCAAGACAGCATAGGTGCGATGAAGGCTCTCCTGAATGGAATTGCTTTCTAACTGGAGCACCCTAGTTTCTCTTAAGATGCGATCTGTGCCAGAGTCGAGTTTGCCACTATTTTTTGTGATCTCCTTTATTCGCTCGATATAGGACCTCCGAGATGCCACCTTGGGCTGCTTCTTGAGACCAGCGGCAAGTTTCAAGCATTCTTCCTCCCTATAAAGTTACCAAGAAACAAAGTCTACATCAAGGCAAAATAATTTAGGGAATCTGCATAGCCAAATGCGTAAATATTTTTTGCTAAAAAACTATGTTGCTTGCACTTGAGTGTAATTGTCATAGGTATGCATTTGACACAGGTACATTCCGACAGACACAACTGAATCTGAGGAACATAGGTAGACTCTACAACAGGAAATGGCATGGATTATACCATTTCATCTTCCAGACAAAACTAAAGATAAAAAAACCCTTTGAGATATATATTATATTATTTTAATAACAACGTGGAAAAGATAATAGACTTTAGTTCCGATAACATACCTTTTTCTAATTTCAGATGAGGTGAACTGCATTTCTAGCTCAATTTCTCTTAACTTTTGGAGTTTCTCTAAAGCCTCCGGATTGTTTGCATATAAACATTCCTCGAGATTTCTTTTCTTATCTTCAATAGGTTTCCGGAAAGCATCCCTGCAAAGGAAAAAATGAAGCCAAGTTAGTGTTGACAATGATGCTAGTATGCTACCAAAGCACTGGACTCTACATTCGATTGCATAAAAGCAATCTTTTGGGGTAATAACTAGTACAAATTTTTCATGCACAAAAGAAATGGTGTCTGTGGAAAGCATGGAAAGTTTATTAAGAACAGTTATTATACCACTGTGACTCCAGTTCCAGAATATTATGCTTTTTGACATCGATCTGCTTGTTAAGTTGCTCCAAGAAAAAATCCATAGGGTTACTTTCATCGAATGCCATATCTGCTGCCACCTTCCACAATCCAAGCTCTTCCTCAAGATGCTGCATTTGTAAAGTGGTTGCTTTCAATTCCTCCTTTAGCACTTTTTCTTGAGATAGCAAGTTTTCTGCTTCATACCTTATCTGGTAAAACAATGGAGATCAGATACACTCATACACAGAAGAATGAACATTTTACTTTTCTGAATCCTGTTAAGAAGCTCGAACTTGAACCAAAATTTGAGGCTTGAAGCTCAGCTCGAGTTCTGTAGAGTTTACTCTTAAAGCTGGAGCTTGAACTGAGATAAAATCAAACTACTCGAGCTTACTTGATTATGCTCATTTAAATGGTAGAAAAAATGAGCTCCATTCGCATGCTAAAACTTGGTTATTTGTGCTTGAATTGATATTTTCTGATACTAAATAGGAAAAAAACCCTTGATTAGTCATTAGTCACACGATATACTAAAGCCCAGCATTAAGATACCCAAACTAAGATTGCTCAATAGATTAAGCTACTCATACTTGTGCTCAGCATGACAACAACAAATCCGAATTAAACTTCTTTCGAGTGGAATCCAAGCAAAGGTGTATTCCTCACATCACTAATTGTCAATCCCCATATCTAAATTTAAGGCCACTTAATTTTCCTTAGACATTATAACACTGCTGTTATAAACTAGAAAAAGGTAGAACCTCAATGAAAGCCAATATTTAGTTTTTACTCAAAATTTAGTTCAGTCAAATAAATGTACCTTGGAGTTCATCTCTTTGGGAGAAGTTGAAACATGCTCATCATCTTTGTGATCTGCAATTTCTTCATTTCCAGAAGCACCGCTTGATTTCACAACTTCAGCATTTGAATCACTAAATAGCTCATTCTGTGCTATATCATGCACCCTAAGGGGGTCATGGATGACGGCTACATCACTGGTCTTGATCTCGGATGATTCTGACAATTCATCTACTCTTAGATCTTGCAAGATAGCTTCAACCTTTTGAAGATTTTGATCAACCTCTTCCTTATCCAGATTCTGAGAAAAAACTCCGAAATTTTCTCTAAGTTATCTTCCTCGAATTTCTGTCTCAAATCAGCATTTCTTTTCCCAGAAACTTTTACAGCTTCAGATGAACTGGAAAGCTTCTCCACCAAAAATCTTACCAGCTTATATAAGTCCTCTTCTGATGGATATAATAACTGCCGTAAGCAATACATATAATTTGTTCTAAGCATAATTGCATAACAATAATAATAACCAAAATCAAAGAAAACTCATGGCAACTTCTAAATTTTTTTATTGAATCTATAGTGCATGAAATAGAGGTACAAATCCGCATTTAGCCAGTATTCAGATTCACCTGTTTCTAAATTTTCTTTCCATAAAAGAAAAACAAACAGATTTCTCTACAGAAATTTCCCTTCTCTAGGGAAAACTTCAGTTTCACAAATCAATTCATCCATAAAATTAACATGTTTCGTCAAAATCCACCATAACCAACAAGAAATTATCACTGTAAAATCCAAAATATAATAAATTTACCAATAAAACAGTATAATTCCATTTAAATCCATCTCCATATTTCACATGAGGGTCGGTCCTTAATTAAAAAAAAACTGAGAAAAACACAGTACATTGCGATAGCTCATGTCACCAACATAACCCAGATTCTTAAAAGCCAGTGAGGTGTCGGAACAGATCTTGTACTTGTCAGCCATGGGGACATAATCTTCAACTGAATCGGGAAATGATACGCCGTTTTGATCGTCGTCTTCGTTGCTTCCGATTATGTTAAGTGATTGGCAGCAGACGGAAATCAGCGTTGTCGGAGTTAAATCGCTAAATGCCGAAACATTCTCCGGGAGCGAAACACCGAATGTGCTTAAGGATTTAAGCAAAATCTCTTGAGACTCTTCCATTGCTGTTTTGGAAATTTAAGATAAAAAGCTTTGAGCAGAATTGTTTGCTTTAGTTGGAGAATGTGAAGGAAATACTACTAATTATACCCGGTCGTTTGATGGTAAAACACATACGGTGTCGTTTAGTCTGCCTCAATTTAATCAAACCATTCCAGAATGCTCAACAAATACTACTAATTATACCCTGTAATTTGATGGTAAAACACATACGGTGTCGTTTGCTGGCAAAAGCCCCTTTAAATAAGATTAGAGCTTCATACATCTACGTAAACAGCGTTTTTTAAATAAATAATTAAGCTTTTGGAAGATACTCTAAATTTTGGTATTAAAAGGTTTTGAATAAACTTAATATATTCTCAAATATTTGGAGTCTCATAAGTTATGCCCAATGGTTTGCAGATGCCATAGTTCAAGCCAACCTCCGACTGGTTATATCATGAAGCTCAGCATTCAATTTAGAAACCTCATTCAATGCTTTTCGCGAAACCAAAAATCCGGTCTTGGTATCGATACCAATAACTTATTCCTATATTCCCCAGGAACTGCTCACTGAGCGTATCAAGTGTAACAGCTTCAACAATTTCAAGAAAACACACATCATTCCATATGCAATAGGAGATGGTTTAACTCACAACATCACAGATTCTAGAAAAGATAAGCCGATTCAAATCCGCTACAAGAGATGCACACTACTTAAGAACAGTACTTTTGCTTCGCTATTTACTTCATGTATTTCAGCAGGAATTTCATGTGGAAGTCATTCCTTTGGTATCATTAATGAAGCGCTTTTGTGGCTTGTTTTCACCGCGTGCCTGGTTCTTGAAAAACCACATCATCGTCCCACCTTAAACCAAACAGAGATCAGGAAAGAAGTTAGCTCATTTGCAATGTCAGGAATTAGTTAAATAACACAAAAAGGGGGGGGGGTGTTTGATTTTGCAATGTACCTTCTTTTTACACCAAAAGATGTTGGATTATTGAGCAGTGGGTTTCCAAGAAGAAGCTCAGCCTCTTTGGCTTTTAGCTGTTCTAGTTTTTCCTGCAGAAACATAAGGCATTTCTTTTGTTATTGATGAAAATTTTTAGATGATACACTCTGAAGATACTAATTTTTTTACCCATATTATTATTATTATTATTATTATTATTATTATTATTATTATTATTATCATTATTATTATTATTATTAAATATATATTAAATACATATATAAATAATTAATTACAGGCCCAATTACAACTGGACCGGCCCAGTTACAAACAACCAGAACCGGCCCAGACCCAAAAGGAAACCCTAAACCAATTTAGGGTTTCAGTTAGGGTTTCCTAACCCTAATCCTATGCCAGCCGCCTCTAGCCAGCCGCCTCAGACTGACCGTTGGATCTGGCAAGATCCAACGGTCCAGATGGCTCCAGATGGAAACCCTAGGGTATGATACCCTAGGGCCACGCGGCCGCCGCTGCTGCTCTCGCCGCCTCCGCCGCTGCCACGTCCCAACCGAAGGCTTCAGAAGCTCCAACGCCAGCCGTCCACGCCATGGCTACGGGGTGAGTCACCACTGGTAGTCCGGTGACTCACCGAAATCCCCTCTTCGGACCGGTCCGATGGTCACACCGGTGGTGGCTATAAAAGCCACCACCCGAACCTGAAAAAAAAAAGGAAAGGAAGAAGACAGAGAACAGATCCCAGAGATACAAAACAAAAAAAAAATATATACAAAATACTACCAACGATCTTAGCAGCAAAGAAACAGAAAAGAAAGAAAAAGGAAGAAAAGAAACTTACCGAGGAAGCCCCGACCACCGGATCTCACCGGAACCTTCAAAACACCGAAGGTACTTTTGTAGATTCGCTCCGATTAGGAGCTTTTTAAGGAAAAAGAACACCGGAAACGTCCTTAGGACGTCCCGATCTATCTAATGGTATAAAAATAAAATTTTCCGGCCACCGGATACGGTGGCCGGCGATGACGGTCACGGCGGCAGACGGTTGCCGTCCGGTGACCGACTTCCTTCCGATGAGGGAATCTAGAGAGAGGTCAGAGCTCTCTCGGCTTGAGAGAGAAAGAAAAAAATGAAATGAAGGCTGGCCCTTCGGGCCAGCCGGTTTTGACCTTATATAGGCCTTCCCGAACGGCGTCGTTTTGGGAAGGACTATGCGCGTAATTAGACAATAGTTAAACCCTGTCCGCCGTCCTCCTAACTTGTAAACTTTACATTTTAGTCACTAAATCGAATTTATAATATTTTTAATTCAGTCTTCAAATTTCAATTTTATTCATTTTAGTCCTTTATATTAAAATAATATATTTAGGATAAATAACAGATTTAATCCCTTAATTTTAATAAATAATATTTTAATCCTTAGTTTATATTTTTAATTTATTTTATTCTAATATCCGAATTTTAGATAATTTTATTTTAGTCACTAAATAAATAAAATAAAGAAATAGCATGTTTAATCCCTATAATTTTGATTAATTATAAATTAGATTTTTAATTTTATTTTTACTGTAATTTAGTAATTTATTTTATATGTTTTCATTTGTTTTTCTGTTTTTTTAAAATATATTGTTTTAGTGGTATTTTTATTTTATTTGTTTATATTTTTAAATATTTTCATGTATTCATAAATATATATAATAAATAGTAATTTTTAAATATTTATTTTAATATTGAAGAAAAGGACAATCTTAATACAACTGGATGTCCTATTCTGATATTTTAAAATTAAAAATTAAACAATATTATTTAAATTAATATTTATCAATATCAAAGAAAAGAGCTGTCTTAAGGCACCTAGAAGTTCTTTTCTGATATTTTTAAATAAATAAATATTTTTTATATAATTTTGAAATAATAGGATTATAAATTAAATATATTTTTGAATTTTTAAATTTTAATAATCGAGACAATTTATAATTAAAAAGTACCAATTTTGGGCGTTGTAGGGGTGCTAATCCTTCCCTAAACGTAACAGACCACGAATCCCTTTTTATTATTAAAAAGAACGAATTTTTGGTTATAAAATGCAGATCAGTTCATTTTTTTTAATTGATGTTTTCTTAAAACTCTTTTAAAGAAAATAATTTTTAGGTATTCGACCTACCTAATCCAAAAGGCCGATGGCGACTCACAAATTATTTTCAAAATTATTTATTTATATCAATTTCCCTGCCAAGTATAATATTTCGTGCCCGGACGAAATCCGGTTACGACAGCTTGGCGACTCTGCTGGGGATCCGGTCAAACTTTTAAAAATCAATTATAAATTGTCTCTATTAATTATAAATTAAAATTTCATATATTTAATCTATAATTTTTTTTATATACATATTATTTTTATAATATTTATATATATTATTAATATTTCATTTTATTTGTAAGTATTTTATTTCATTATTTTTTTTCTGTCAGAGGTATGAACATTTCTCCTCACACACAACACTTGCATTGCATTATATAAAGCTCTAAAATTGAGTTGTCCCTTTTAAGTGGGAGTGAAAGCGATGTCTTCGTGAGAATTTATTCTCCGTGTCAGACCTAGCAAGTAACTTTCGGGGTTCATATGCTTTATGTCTTCGTGAGAATTTATTCTCCGTGTCAGGCATAGAGAAATGTATTCCCTCGAATTGAACTCGATCCATTTTAGTCTGTGATGGACTAGGGTTGAGGGTTAGCAACCCAAGGGGGCACTAACAAGGATAATTCGGGTACCTTTATTCTTAGATCTGAAACCTTGCATATAAAAAACCTTAGAAACTCTTCCGATCCGAAGTCATGCCAAAATTTTGTCTAAAATAGGTGTACACACAGGAGAAATTAATTCTAACTTTCTTGTTTATTTATTTTCTTTACTGATTAAATTACATGTATATTTAAATTATTTAAATTTAGAAAAAGCATGTTTAAATAAAAATATTTATGTAAATGTTATTATTAAATTTCTTTATTATGTAAACTAATTTATTTTCTTTTTGTGTGTTCTTTATTTTTCTGTTTGCATAGCATCATACAGGATAAAAGGCATTGATCCTTGTGTTAATTGTCTCATTGGAAAGCCTTCATCTATGGATAAAAAGTGTTCAAATCAAATAATTCTAAACTCAGAAGTAAGACAGTGGGCTGAGGACTTACAAAGACAAGAAGGAGACAGTCTGCAGGATGATTATGTATCTGACTTGGCCAGTTATGCTCCAGTTTCGCTAAAAAGAAATGATATGCAAGATTTGCGAAGTATTTGGGAAAGTTGGGATTCAAATAAAAAATTGCAGTTTTATCAGACTTACGGAGACATCCCATATTTGCTATATGTTGAAGTTGATGATGAATTGCTCAGAGCCCTAATTCAATTCTGGAATCCAGGGTACAATTGCTTCACTCTCAATAAAGAAGATTTGGTCCCTACTATTGAAGAGTATACAACTTTGTTACATATCGAAGGGGCTTTGGAGAATCGAATCTATTCAAAGTCAATTAAAACTCAACCCTTTCGAGTTAAATTAGCAAAGATTGCCGGGGTACGAGAAGAATGGGTGGCATCCCGTACAAAACAAAAAGGAGAAAGCGAAGGCATTGCTTGGACCAACATTAAAGAACTTATTCAGATTCATCCAGATATTAAGGTACGGTTCGATTTATTTGCTCTGGGTATGTATGGTATGGTCATCTTCCCAAAAGTATTGGGATATGTTGAAGCTGCAGTGGTAGATTTGTTTGAACAGTTACCGAAAAAGATTAATCCTGCCTCTGCAATCCTAGCAGAGACCTTCAGATCGTTAAATGCTTGTAGAAAGATAGGAGGTGGACGATTTTCAGGGTGTACCCAGTTGTTATATGTTTGGATCCGTAGTCATTTCTGGAGGACAGAAAAAGTTTCATACCGACGCTTTAATACGGATTATTCACCATTAAAAGAATTTCTGGAGCAGGAATGGCCGAAAGAAATTAAGAAAGATATGTGGATTAATGCCTTTCGAAATCTGCAAAGCAATGACATTGTTTGGCGAGCCCCGTGGCAAATCCAAAGGGAATTCTT